CTGTAAATTTGCTCATGTCCAACCCATCCCAAACAAGGATCTAAAACCGACCCTTACAACTACAGGCCTAAAGCTCTGCTTTCTGTTATAAGTAAGGTGATGAGAGGTGCATAAATCGCGAGCTTCTGCAATACCTTGAACGTCTCGGCTTGATTAGCGACGGGCAGTATGGTTTCCGACAACAGCGATCCACACAGGACCTCCTAGCTTACGTCTCGCAGTTGCGGAGTAAACTAATGCAGTATTACGGTGAGGCTTATGTTGTTGATCTTGATATTACGAAAGCGTTCAGTCAGCTGTGGCACGCTGCCAGAGTTAGCGATTTTTGTATGCTTTAGCGACTTTTTATCTCCGCTGGCGATTTCCAGCAACATATTTGGCTATATTGGTAATTACATTAAAGTTCGCCTTTTTACAGTTGAAGATTGTAAAATATAAATTTATAGTAGACATCAAAATACCTGAGAGTTGTCCTGTTTTCTCTGTACAAAAGCATCATGTTGGAATTAAAAAGTGGTCTTGTATATAATACAGTCGAATTTTAACGATTTTATCTTAATAGAAATCGCTGTTATTTAGAGACCTTTGACAGCTTCCGTCAAATTGCATTTTGATAAGGTATTTTCCCGTTGGTCCAAGGAACCGGTAAATATTAATGTTGGTGAAATTGGCCCTAAGTGTGTCTTTTCATAAAAATATGTATAATGAGTATTGTATACTGTTATACATACAATGAGCTGTACGGTTATCCTAGTTACGTATACAGGTATTTTTTTATGTTTGTACTACGTAGGAGTGTGTAATGGAGCTTACTACAGCAGTATAAAATTTGTCGATTTGCTCAAGGTCTCTTTGGTGAAAGATTATAATCCGAATATTCACACATATATTGATTCAAAGCTCATTATAAAATTAAAAAAAAATGGTTGTTCATTGACTCGTATATTAAGTTTTCTTACAAATTTCAACATTTTTGCTATAAATATATTAGTTTTTCCCGTAATTTAGTACCATGGAATATGAAGCTTACGATGTTTCACAATGGCGGACTGGCACGCTGTTAAATTTAGTGGTTTTTGTTTATTGACCCGCTTGCAGATTAACAAATAATCATGAAAGCACTATAGTATCTTATATCAATCTTCTTTTTTTTGGAAGGGCCTATCCAAATATGCAAAACATCTGGAGCATTCCGTTCAAGCAGATCCTCGAATTTCTTCATTTTCTAAAATGACCTGGCCATATTCTATCGCACATGAAATATACCCTCCCAAAACGGAAGCGTATAACAGACATACTAGACTGTTTTGATGATAAGAAGTTCACTAATAAGCTGGTCAATGTATGAAGTTCTTAACTCGCTAGTCCGCGATTTTGAAAAATATTGAACTGTATGGCGCTCTTGGGAGATATTACCAGCTAATAAGTGGGCGATTATCCAAAGCTCGAAAAGCTCCTGGCGGAAAAATGTTTGCCTTCCGGTTGTGCTGCCCCCAGTTCAATTAACTAAGAAATATTTCTAGGAGTAACACCTGAAATTTATCTTTGTCTTGGCTTTCATGCTGGTCCGGACAGTGTCTGCTTCAGGCGGTCCTGAGCTTTGCTGCTTTTACGCGATTCCACCTTAAAATTTTAATGATGGTTTCGCGCCATCTCGGCATGCTACAGGACCGTTCAAGCTGTTGTCGCTACTATACAATAGCGAAGAAAAGAAAAAATATTTGAACTGTCAGCTGGAAGACAAATACAACAAAATACATTGTCCCTGTTATTGTCAACTGGACGTGGGTAACTGTGGTGGCTGTAATGTCATCAGTAAAAAATAATCAAGCATACGAGGTTTTGATTTAACGGCCAGTCATGGACTCTCATATTTTTTGACATCGTCATAGTGCCGATCTGTGGCAGATGTCACTGTCCAAATATACCTGTTTTGATAAAAAAAAAAGGTGCAAGCGGCAAAACAAAATCATATATTTTGTGTTCTCGAAGGTTCTTGGCATATGTCATGGGAGAGAGAAAAGAAGTGAAACTGCACGAACAGGTGCTCGAGTACTACTAAGTGCTAGATATTAAATACATCAGATAAAACTCCAGATAAAATAAAAAGACCATTCGTTGCAAATATGGCAGGTAATATACGTAGTTCTGAAGTGTTTGTGATGAGTGCAATTTCAAAGATACTAATTAACCATAAGAGGCAAGCTAAGAAATACATAAAATGCATAAATAGTCAAATCAACACCTCATTTTACAAACATCAACAATAACTTTTTGGTTGAACTCTAAAATACGATTTAACTATTCATCCGCGGGATCAAAATCCTTGATCCGGATCAAAATGGACCAATGAGGAGGCGTATTTGTAGTAACTGACCAAGCGGTTTAGTCGATTTCTTCTAAAATATCTGTCACGTTAAAGAAAAAATATAGTTATATATAAAGTTATGTAAGAAGGGCCTCTAATCCGCATATTAAATCAATAAATTCTTTATAGATCACGTGGTTTCGCTACAAAAACGTATTTTTCTACTTGATCCGAGATCAAAACTTGTGATGCGGGTCCACAATGACCAATTAGAAAGCGTTTTTGTAAAACTGCATCGAAAATTGGCACATCATAACCCCATCTTGTAGATGCTAGAACCAAATAAAAAATTAAAACAGTATAAATCGGTTGTCAATTAGGTTTAGATTTCAAGACATTACTTAATTGTCTTCCATTGTCATAAGTTTTTGCTGCTGAACCTAATCCGCATATCGTCCTTCAAGGTAAATAGAGGTGTTTCTGTGATACAATTATTTTAAACGAATATACACGCTGTTGTCTTTGCTTTATAAAGTTTTAGAAAAAATTGTAGAAACCAGATGAGTCATTATACAACAAGAAGGACGGTGTGTAAAACGGAAACCTTTTCTTGTGCCTCTTTCTCGTCTATTCAAATTCAGATGATGGCGATACTCGAATACGCATTTCAAAATTTCAATATTTATTGATACAATAACAATTGAGGGGTCCAATGCTTAAACCGGTCAAGTCAATTTTTTGTGAAAGTAACTGCTTTCACAGTTTCAGATTCCAGTGCATACAGCAGCTCCATAATATTTAAATTGTGAAAATTGAAGTGTACAAATGGTTGCCTACGCTTTTTCACTCAGTGCTGTCAGTCTAATAAAGCAAGGGTACCCCGAACCCGGACATAGTTCCCTTCCGTGTGATACGAGATTTGAGGAGATAGGAATACAAAAAAGAAAGCGCGACAAAATATATTTGCCGCAAGAGTAGTCAAAGGTTATTGAAAATACAAACAAAAACTTGTCATCCATGTAGCGCACGATATATTTTTAAATTTCAATGCCCATTTGCAACAGTTGCTTATAAAGAATCATTCAAGAAAAATTAAAGAATTTACGATTTTAAAATATCGAATCATGCTCTGTAAAAAACTAGATGAAGAAATATTATTTAAATGTAGTGAAACAGTCTCTTTATATCAGTTTAATATTTCTGAAATCTGAGATAAGAGGAATGTGCAACCCGTGACTCTACCAAACACTACAAACAAGACATGTAGTGAAAGTAGAAAGCTAAAGAAAAACAAGTTTGATCACGTTATGACTCTAGTTAAAAACTATGTGCCACAATGTGATCAGTGGTTCTATGAATAAATCAGAAAATACGATCACAGCTTTTTGCCAGATGATAAAGAAACTTCCGCATCAGAATTCACTGAAGATAAAATGAAAATATTTTAAGTTTGTATTAAAACCATGTATGAGTTTATTTCATTCAGTAACTTAGTAAAAAAATAACATTATTACGTCAAAGTTTGTTTTATTTTAATTTTATCGCTAGAAAAATAAAAAGCTGTGCATAAAGCAGCCAAGTCCATTAATCTTTCCCTCATAGCTTATTCATTTTCTCTTATTTACAGATTGATATGTTCAAAAGTAATGTAGCAGAATTATATGCAATTGACAAATAACAAATACGAAAATTTTCCGTAACTAAAAAAATGACATCGAAAATGTTTTTTATGTTTCCTCGACATTTTTTCTCATCTGACTTGACTGGTTTATGCATTAGAATCCTCAATTATAGTAAGTATGCCGATATTCATGATAATCAATGCACGTCAATGACAAAGTTGAATTCGTCCTACCACTATATGGTACCTCGCCAGCAGACCCGTTATATTTTATATAACATAGATATTTCACACTCGTCAAAATGAATTAGTATCTGGAAATCCTGTCCGCTATCCTAGCATAATCATATTAGAATCAGACGAAAATACCGAAATGATTATAAAGTTTGGTTTTACTGCTGAAAGTTGTTCAAGGGGGATTCAAAACATGGACGCATAAAATAGGTCCACTAATCTTTGCGGGAAAACTTTCTATTCTACAACAAAGATTGAGAAAGCGAGATTTTTGGGAATCACGCGAACGTTTTGGTAGGAATGAAAAAACTCTTCATATAAGATTTTTAGGTATTTATGGGATCTACACAATGAGACGACACGTAAGAAGATCCGACTAATAGCAAAAAAGTTATGGCCGAAAACCAAGACCAACTGCAGGTTTTGGCACTGGTGGGTAATGCGACGATGGTTTCTCGCAGATATTTGAAATTATTCATATTCGTACGATTCGTACTTCTAAATTACCACAACAAAGTTGGAGTAGATCGGTCAGGTAACAAAGAGTAAGTCCGAAACTGCACGCATGCGCAGATCGCGCGCTAGCTCTATCTCTCTTACTCCCAAACAGAGGATCTATAAAAGAATTTATCAATCCTGACGAACCTAATGAGGATAATGGAAAACTGGTATCAAACTATTGCATTGTTATCGATCCTTGACACGTGTGCGAAGTTTCAAGTTAATCAAAATTGATGGAAATTATGCTCACAAATTCCATTGCATACTGACATACATACATACGTACATACAGGCCATGCGTGTTAACAAAAATAAAAAAGAAGGTATATTACAAATTGCCTCCTGTGAGGATTGAACTCACGACCCCTGGCTTACAAAACCAGGGCTTTGCCACTGAGCTACAGAGGCTTGTAGTTTCGATATTAGCAAAGCGGCATTTGAAATCCGTGACTTTTTATTAACATATCTGCTTTTTACAGAATTTGATGAATAAGAATAATGGAAAGCTGTTATCAAATTATTGCATTGTCATCGGTCCTTGATACATGTGCGAAACTTCAGATTAATCAAACTTCTGGAAATTGGTGAAAATTATGCTCAAAGATTCCGTTACATACATTCATACATACATATGTTACGTACAGGCGAAACTAATAAAAGCGTGTTAAAAACGTTACATAATGTCACTACTCGTCCAAAGTCACTAGTCACTAGTCACTAGCGAAGACACGTGCATATGAAAGCACTAGGCACGAACGGTTAAGTTTGTGCTTCGCCGTCCCGTGTCGCTGTTGGGCGCGAAGCGGCTAGAGGTGGCGGATACAGTTACCTTGTAATATCTGTAATATCTAATATCGTTACTCTTTGATATCGGTGATTTGAAACTCTGACGTGACTACGACTTTCGAATAACGATGAGGTTATGGGTAGGCTGATACACTGAGCGAAATATTGGGATAATACCGCATAGAGCCAACTACCAAGGCATATAAGGCACGATATCACTTACAGGCCATAGTAGTTTTTTTTCCTTTCTGGGAACCGTATGACCAAAGTCTCCGATGGAACTGCAGCCTCTTGGTCCTATTTTACCTTGCTCCTTTACTGTACCTAATCCAGCAGTCTGGTGTTCTGTACCGGTTGATACAGTTTCCCTGCCGGTACTATCCTAAACTTCCTCGCTTCTAGTTTTGGTTTCCCGAAAAGTGAATGTAACTTTTGTAATCTAGAGCCTCGCACTGACATAAGACATGCAGGGCTGATTCTGTTCCTTTTTTGTCTGCAGGTAAGGTCTCCATCATACAGCCCTATTTTGCGCAGGTGATCTTTCAGGCCATTGTGTCCTGATAGAACTCCTGTAGCTACACGGAGTTGGTTTCTACTCATTGGAAGCAGTTCCGCAGCCTTGTTTGGACATGATTCCGAGACATACTCTTTCCCATGCCTGCATCCAAGTCCCAATATCCCTTCTGCTGGTATCTCATCCACTCCTTGACTTCGTCCCTTATTGTGCTTCTTGGCACCCGCAAGGCAGGTTTTGGGCCTGTAAGAGGTGAGGATGATCATTTCCTTGCGAGCTCATCCGCCCTCTCATTTCCTGCGTTACCTGAATGTCCTGGCATTCCCAGATCAGTACAGATGCCACTCTAGGACTTCTTAACGCTAACTTTTAGTGTATATGGCGATCCTTCTATTATTATACGCTTGGTAACTATTTACTCTTGCGCAATGCAAGATTGCATACAGTTCTGCCTGAAATACAGAGGTGTGTCTTCCAAGTGGTATACTATGTCCAGTATTGCATCTGTTCCTATATATACCTTCACCTGTTCTCTTCTCAGTTTTTGATCCGTCAGTGTGCCAGGTAATTTACCACTTGCAGGTTGTGCCTTTGGTGTTTCGTTCGATCACTTATTGTGGTCTCACAATTCTTTTGGAATACAAATTTGGGAACTATGTGGTCTTTCCTCGCATCAAGTATGTCACTTTCTACATGTTTCCTTATTTGAGGTCCTCATATCTTCCGTTTGGCTGTAACTGTAGCGTAGGCCCATTCTCGCCTTCCCTATTATTACACATCGTATCGATGGGAGGTCCAGAATGGTCTCAAGTGCTGCAACTGGGCGCTCTTCATTGCATTTGCATCGACAGGTAAGCAAGTCTTTGTACCTTGCTTAATTCTGTAATGTTAGAGTGTTGTGCCGTCTTTACCCACCCCCGTTGATGCATAATTTATCGTGGGTCGTACCACCATTATGTACGTCCAGTGCATCAAGGGCATACATAGTAGTCTTACGGTAACATACGATCTTCGACCTTAGTAGCTAACGCACATGCGAATCTAACGCACATTCAAACGTGAACGCCGTGGTCTCATGATGCCATTCGCCGTTACCGAAGTCGTGGTCACGTCATGCTTTTTCACGGTATTTATAAATATCAGTTACGAAATCACAGTTCGTGAAATATCTACAACAACTAGTAACGACAAGTTGATGCTATTTTATGCCCTGTTGAAATGGAATTACCATTTATTCATTTATATCTAGCTTTATTGAAAGCAGAGAGAGCAATACAGTAAAAGTCTCTATCAAATCCTGTTTCTATGCAGTTAATTCGAAAACTTGTTGGCTACTCTCAAGCGACACAGTGAGAGCATAAACTTCGCATTCACGGACGCTCTTGTATATGTAGCTACTGTATACCCGTAATATGAAAATCGGATTATGGCATAGACCCATTCGCCATGGAAATAAAAGAGAAGCTCTGCAAGAATTCTAGCTCGAGTAAACAGAGAGAGATTCTCGACGGTAGAGATTTCGTTGAATAGGCGGCCGTGTTTACCTTCCGGCTTTGGTTAATTTTAGGTAAATGTACAAGACGATAAAAAGCGGGCTTAACGTTGCTGGTGTCGGATTTTTTGCTCTTCATGCTAAGCTGGAGGGTTGAGCTGGTCTTACTGAATGATGCTAGCAGGCCGTCATGGACGAGTAATAGTTCTATTCTGGTTTGAGGCACGTCGTGCTTTATCTACAGTTTGTTTCCAGTAAAAATTGTAATCCACCCTATTACGATACGATAAAACTTTTTTTATAAAAGCTCATTTATAACGGGATTGGCTTTGGCGCTCTTAAGTCTGCGATCAGAATAATTACCAGGATGGTTCAGCTTATTCCAAGAAGTATCTTCGAATCCGCGCGGACAAACCTTCCGATTCGAATTTGCGTAATCCTGTTCAAAAAGGATCCCTTTTAATAAATCTCCATGTTGCCAGGCCTGAAACTTCATCAAAAATTGCTTGAATAAAGTTTTTGAGTCATTCTGAACTGAAAATATCCCTTTCTCCTCTAAAGTTGATAGTTTTCGAGATATAAATGATTTAGTATTTAATAAAGTATAAAATGTGCCACTATCTAATAATATAAAACGAAAATTTTCTGTCGTCAAAGTTCCTAAGTACACTTCAGGCACGCACTAAAAAAGTTCTAACTCATTTAGGGGATATTATTATTATTGTTGTAAACCATTGTTTTATTTCCCACGCCTACTGGCTCAGAAGTATTAAAATCGCGACTTTGGAAAATAAGATATGTTTTTTTGATGTTATATAACACGGAAATAACGAAAAACCCTGTAACTCTTTTCTGTCTGATCGTCTGTCGGTCTGTCTGTCTGTGCTCTAATCCTTTAGCCGCCTATAACCTTGAGAAGACCTGCTCGGATTTTGATGACTTTTTGACACAATGTTACCAGTATGTTAAGAAATGTTTTGGAAATTGTTTCAGTGACAACGGAGAAAAAACCTCGTTTTAAGATGTTTCAGAAGATCCTCATCGTTTTCGAAAAAAAATGTGTAGGGGTTAAAACTTGAGGGCTACGAATGGCAGGGGGTGATGGAGGGTGCATCTCAATTTTTTGACGTTCATAGCCCCAGTAATTCTACGCAACTATTAGACGTATTTCACTGATCATAGATCTATCTGTACATTTACCCTCAAATATCAGCAACAGTCGCGTGTCGATACGTGTGACGTGGTCCAACGATGGCTCTCTACATGGTATAGGGCAATGCCATCATATACGTGGAATTGATCATCGCAACGATCATGAGCGCCTGTTAATAAAGTTCTATCTCGAAAACTATCAAGTTCAAGAACCCTTCCTGCTTAGGATGGCTCAATAAAACCTAACAAACGGGCCAAACAAACATTTATGGAATCTGTCTGAAAATTTCTGTCGCAATTATGGGACTGGCAACATTTTCGTTGAAAAGGGTACTTTGGGAAAATGTGCAAAAAGTCAAGTCAGTTGATTTTTCCGAGCAGATGCGAAGATACTGACTAGTCCAGTTTATTTCTACGACATCGACTGAGCTTATTTTCAGTCTGAAGAGAATTACGGGACGTTGCTTAGAGTTCTTATAAAGAGGGCTCCGAGGATTCAAGACGATTATATGAATACCATGGAAATCCAAGATGATTTGGTGCAATCCAAGAGATCCGTGGCAATCCAAGATGTTGTTTCTCGGACCTCCATTATCTATAACGTTTTTGATTCACGATATTTTGACTGATGTGATCTCCAAAAGTCATCAGATGAACTGGGGAGTATGCTCCTTTCTTGACTATTTCCACCACTTGATGACGTTAATAACCTATATAGTATAAAAAAAAACATTAACTATCAACTTGTTGAGTGCAAATACTTAATTCCGTGCTTTCTATAAGTGAGCATTCGGTTGCATACTGGTTTACTAGTATGATACTTGGATCACTGTTAACATTTTCATTCATTATCATGAAGGCCGATTTCTTAAATTTTCTCCGATATCACTGTGCATAAATCCGATTCGGAGCAGAACGGGGAGATATGATTAAGTACTGAATAGGAAATAAAGCTTGGACAAAGCACCACATAATACTTTGGTAGAAAGAAACATACTATAGCATCGGATTAAAAAAGGAAACAGCCTTTATAACAAGGGATGAAAATGTTTACAGTAATCTAAGTATTGAAATTGAGTCAGTATGGCAACCCATTGTAAGAAACATCAAACAACTACAACTCAACTAACCTGGACGAGGGACAAGTTACAACCAACCGCTGCGCTGTTCACCTGATGACCACATCAATCGAAAAGTCGTGAATCATAAGACCTCATAGACAATGAAACTCTAAGAAACAACCTTTTAACCATTCACATTGTCATCAAATTTCTAACAACAGCAACCCTTAGTGTACGGCATTACGTTACCATTATATATAGCCTAAGGTTGGTAATTCTACTAATTCTCCAGGAAATCCTATGATTGCTCATTAAAGCTTACCACATAAGATCCACCTTGCATTCTATTATCAAACTAAAATATTCCATAACCCTAAACCAAGAAGATAGTCGTTGTGAGAGG